TGTCACATGCAAGATAAGAAAATAAAATACAGTCTTTTAATTTTGTTCCAGTGTGCACAGGGTGCCAATCCTTCTTTTCTTTTTTCTTGTTTTTGAAACATATGATAGGACAGAGAACAGGACAAAACCTGATACAGACCAGAACACTTACAAGATAACAAATACTGGTATAAACATTCAAATGAGTGTAGTCCATGCAGGTGTGTGCATTACTCTGTTCAGTGTGAAAGTCTTTTCATTTCTTCTTGTTTTACTTCCAAGGAGCCAGACTTTTTTCTATTTTTTTAGGTGCCCTTGAGCAATAGTTTTCCAAGCTTTTTGAATGCCCTGCTTTTTCTCTCATTTACAGTCCAGTACTCGTAACTGACCGTATTCAGGGAAATCATGAATATTGACCTATGAATCATTCGTGCACAAGAAAAGCAGAAGAAAATCATTGGGAACAGGTTTTATGAAGTGATGAATCCAAATCTAAAATGTTTGGTTTGAGTCGTCAGTATGTAAGTGTCTACAGCCTCTGTCATGGTTCTGAGCTTCATTTGAAACTGTGAAGTTTGAGATGTGAAACTGGGTGGGAAAAGCATCAGATTTTCACCATGACAATGATCCCTAAAACACTGTCAGTGCAGTAAAAGCATGCCTGGATAGAAACACACCACTTAAAATATAAAGAAATTAGAAGTGGCTCAAGACTTTTGCACAACACTGCACATAATTACATTATACTTTCTCAGGAACTTGCGACAGGCCCAGTTACCACAAAAACTGCTAATTAACTTATACCGCTCCACCATCGAGAGCCTTCTGACCTACTGCTGTACTGTGGAGGACAAGAGAAAACTGTAGTGGGCAGTGAGGGCGGCAGAGTGGGCAACTGACACTTCACTAATCCCCCTCAGGGACATTTATACTGGCAGACTTCAACAGAAAGCCAGCATCATCAGCAAGGACCCCTCGCACCCTGGACACTGAAAATAAAAGCAAAAAAAGAAAGGAATTACAAAGCTCTTCTTCAAAACATGAAGTTTTTCTGAAAGAATCTCATAACATCAAATCCTCCAGGAAGGTTCCCAGGTGTGAAGTGACCCTGAAGAATCTGCAGCCACAGAGCTAGTTAAAATCTCTAAAAAGAAAAAGAGCTTCAATGTTTCCTATATAACTGAACTGTTTGTGAAAGGAAAGCTTGTGATTCCAGATACTTTCACAAACCTTCCCAAGAAAAACTGACAAATGAGTTCAAGGAAAAGTGATTGGGAAAAGGGAGGTAGGAGGTAATATTTTGGACTAGTTGTCTGGAACCATGCAGTTATCACATCTGCCAGACACTTCAGGGTCACTTCACTCTGTAAATGTTGTTGATCGTAGCCATTGTGTGCATTTATATACCACGTAATCACTCAATTCTTGTTTTGGAAGCAATGAAAAGATCCACTTTTGGATATTACAGATGCACCACCCAGGCATGTGCAGTTTAAAAATAAGAAGCCTGTCTGCTGAGGTTCCACTTCTGTTTTCATCACATGCACGATCACTCGATCTGCATAAGGAAAACCCTCCAAACACCACAAATATGTGAGATTACCAAACTTCTCAGTCTGGAGGAGTTTGCTGTTTGGAGCTGAAGTGTACCCCTCAGCCTTTTTGAGCTTCAGTGTGTGAATTTCAGTGCCAAAAGAGAAATGAGACAGATTTATAATTTCCATTTATTTGCATCGAAAATGGTCCATTAAAACACTAAATCGGCATTGACAACATCATTTAGAGGCTTACTAGCTTTAATTAAAGTGCATTATGCCGTCTGTCTTTTCACTTTCTAAATACACATGCTCTTTAAAATGAAGGGAAAAAAAAAAAAAAAGCAGCCCTTTAATCTGAGGTGAACATTAAGTAACATTCAATTAAACAAGAATTAGGGCGACTAAACACATCAACGATCTCACTGCATCAGCAAAGTTTCTTTTCCCGCCCCGTTTTCACCATTTCAGACAACTACACGTAGTTATCAACATTAAGGCTGATTTATGTAGTTGCACATTTTGGCTCAAGATTTACTTCCCTTTCTAAATAAAACAATAAATACAGGACGGGTGGTAATAAATACTCCGGTCAGTCAGTCACTCAGTCATTCATTCATTCAGGGGTGGAGAGAAATTCAAACTGTGTGCAAAAATCTTCCCGTCTGGGACATAATCATTTCACTCTGTGCATTTTAATGCTTTATCCACCAAGATTCACTCAAGAGAGCAAAAATATTTGGTCCTTGCTTCTCATACAGTCACCGTTCAGCTTCTCTTTAAAGGTAATAGCAGCAGTCACGACATCCTGAGCTCACAGAGTCCATAACCTCCACCTCGCCGTGTCCTTTCTAGTCTTTCGTCAGCTGACATTCACAGAATGAAATGGCTCCGCGAACCTCTGGAGGGGCCTGAAAGCCCCCGGGGGGATTCCTAGCATGAGCCTTGGGAGGGTGAGGGGTGGGGGGACTAGGGAGCCTTATCTTGAGGTCACTCCCAGCTGTGTCTTCAGGTGCTCGTACACAACATAGCTGATGCTGACGGCAGGGATGACTTTAAGGAAGTTGGGGGCCAGGCCTCTGTAAAGCCCAGTGGGCCCCTCGTTCTGCAGGATCTGCCTGAAGAGGCTGGACATGGTCACCTGCTGTTGGCCGCCATCTACTGCAGCTGAAAGGGTTAAAAATGGACAAGCTTAGACTTGTGTTCAAATACAGTTACCATCCAGTTATTTTTAAGTTACTAAATGTATAAAACCGTCTGCTACTGATGGAGTAACAGGTCAGTATTGAGGCCTCACCTTGTGCTTGCATGCGGGTTCGAACCAGAGCCAGGGGGTAACTGGCGAGCTGACCGCAGGTACTGGACACTGTGCCGCAGGCCAGCAGGACGAACACACCGGGGTCTGTGCTGTTGGTGCCGTACTGCTGGAGGTAGGTGTTTTTTAGAGTCTATGGAGAGAAAACAAAAAAGGTCAATCTACAGTCTCAGTTTGAATTTTATTTTGTAGGAGTTCTGGGGATTTCTAAACAATGTATGCTTGTGACTGCTCACCTCGTACACTGCGAGGTCAATGCCCGCATAGGGCACGATGCCCAGCATGTTGGGGACGTATCCTTTGTAAAACGCGCCGAGGCCTTCTCTTCTGAAGATCTGCTTGGCGCAGTCAGTGATACCAGCATACTGGCCGGTCTTCCTCAGAGCGAGACGGGTTTTAAGCACCTGGAACAGATTCAGTACAGATAACGTCAGCTTTGACTGTACAGTCGCGACAGAGGCATCACAACGCTACAGGATAGATCTAATTAAAGAGATAATCACCTCCATGGGGTAGATTGTGCTCTGGGCAATCACTCCTGCCAAAGATCCTGCAACAAACCGCTCCAGGATGCTCAGAGCTTTCTTATCACTGCCGATTAAACGCTTAATCTGGAGAAGCAAGTTGAGAAAGAACAGATTAGCAAATGACATCAAGAACACTGTGCCTCGTCCATTAAACCCGTCCCTTGATAAACCCATCATACCTGCTCGTAAGCCATGAACTTGAGGGCCGACTCGGGGGCAATTTTGAGGATATTCACGCCATTTCCTCGCCACAAGGACCTCGTACCACCTTCTTTGATCATCTGCATGAGTCCGCTCATGATGCACATGTTGTTGGTTCGGGATCCGTAAACCTGGGGGAGGAAGAATATTGTATTTGATTAAACTACTACATTAATTATGGGATTACTTGGGCATGGTGCCATGTGGGTCATCATGTTTTTAACCAAATCTAAGCCAACTGGGTGAATATCTAATCAATAGGACAAAGTCTCCTGACGCACACCATGGGGATGATGACACATATTTAGTATGGGTAGTTTGAGCTTGGATGACAGCGAGTACTATGAAGCCAAGGGTGTGACAGCGGTTTGAGAGCAGTCATTGGTCATTGCCTGGACTCTGGCCCCTTGCCGTTACACACTGTTAAACGTTAACTTGCTTGTGAGCGTTAGGTAACGGGCGCTTGAGCAATTTCAAACCATAATGGCCACAAATACTCAGAGCTAAAATCTCAGTAACGTTTAACATGTCATGCATCAGCGGACACTTTAAAT